TGTAGATTATAATATACCTCATCGAAAATATGGTGAAGAAAATCGAGCAGCCGACATTAAAACCGTGTTATTTGAGCGCATATCAACCAATGTCCAGAACAAATATTTTCGTTAATAGCGAATAACGTGGGGAGTATATCGGTTAATGGGCTTTCGGGCATTAATACATACGCCACCCTATTCCACTTGCTTTAAATGTGCTTAAACTCACATGAAATGTAGATAATTATATACTTCATCGAATACGGGGTGCACAAATTCTAGCAGCGAACATTAAAAAGGTCTTATTTGAGCGCATGTCAACCAATGGCCAGCACAAACCTAAACGTTTGGCGCATATAACGTCTAGAGTATATAGAAGGGGTGGGGGTTAATACATTCGTTGCTAATGTTCCATATGCTTTAAATGTGCTGAAACTCACATGAATTGTAGACTATTATATACCTCATCGAATACAGGGTGCACAAATTCTAGCAGCCGACATTAAAAAGGTCTTTTTTGAGCGCATATCAACCAATGTCCAGAACAAACCTAAACGTTTGGCGCATATAACGTCTAGAGTATTTAGAAGGGGGTTGAGGGTAATACATTCGTTGCTAATGTTCCATATGCTTTAAATGTGCTGAAACTCACATGAATTGTAGACTATTATTTACCTCATCGAATACAGGGTGCACAAATTCTAGCAGCCGACATTAAAAAGGTCTTATTTGAGCGCATATCAACGAATGTCCAGAACAAACCTAAACGTTTGGCGCATATAACGTCTAGAGTATATAGAAGGGGGTTGGGGGTAATACATTCGTTGCTTATGTTCCATATGCTTTAAATATGCTGAAACTCACATGAATTGTAGATTATTATATACCTCATCGAATACAGGGTGCACAAATTCTAGCAGCGAACATTAAAAAGGTCTTAATTGAGCGCATGTCAACCAATGGCCAGCACAAACCTAAACGTTTGGCGCATATAACGTCTAGAGTATATAGAAGGGGTGGGGGTTAATACATTCGTTGCTAATGTTCCATATGCTTTAAATGTGCTGAAACTCACATGAATTGTAGACTATTATATACCTCATCGAATACAGGGTGCACAAATTCTAGCAGCCGACATTAAAAAGGTCTTATTTGAGCGCATATCAACCAATGTCCAGAACAAATCTAAACGTTTGGCGCGTATAACGTCTAGAGTATTTAGAAGGGGGTTGGGGGTAATACATTCGTTCCTAATGTTCCATATGCTTTAAATGTGCTGAAACTCACATGAATTGTGGACTATTATTTACCTCATCGAATACAGGGTGCACAAATTCTAGCAGCCGACATTAAAAAGGTCTTATTTGAGCGCATATCAACCAATGTCAAGAACAAACCTAAACGTTTGGCGCATATAACCTCTAGAGTATATAGAAGGGGGTTGGGGGTTAATACATTCGTTGCTAATGTTCCATATGCTTTACATGTGCTGAAACTCACATAAATTGTAGATTATTATATACCTCATCGAAAACGGGGTGCAGAAATTCTAGCAGCGGACATTAAAAAGGTCTTATTTGAGCGCATGTCAACCAATGGCCAGCACAAACCTAAACGTTTGGCGCATATAACGTCTAGAGTATATAGAAGGGGGTGGGGTTAATACATTCGCCGCTAATTCCCATTTGCTTTAAATGTGCTTAAACTCACATGAAATGTAGCTTATTATATACTTTATCGAATACGGGGTGCAGAAAGTCTAGCAGCCGACATTAAAAAGGCTTTATTTGAGCGCATGTCAACCAATGGCCAGCACAAACCTAAACGTTTGGCGCATATAACGTATAGAGTATATAGAAGGGGGTGGGGTTAATACATTCGCCGCTAATTCCCATTTGCTTTAAATGTGCTTAAACTCACATGAAATGTAGCTTATTATATACTTCATCGAATACGGGGTGTAGAAAGTCTAGCAGCGGGGTGTAGAAAGTCTAGCAGCCGACATTAAAAAGGCTTTATTTGAGCGCATATCAACCAAAGTCCAGAACAAATATTTTCGTTAATAGCGAATTAAAGTGGAGAGTATATCGGTGAACGGGGTTTTGGCCTTTAATACATTCGCCGCTAATTCCCATTCGCTTTAAATGTGCTTAAACTCACATGAAATGTAGATTATTATATACTTCATCGAATACGGGGTGCACAAATTCTAGCAGCGGACAATAAAAAGGTCTTGTTTGAGCGCATATCAAACAATGTCCAGCACAAACCGCAACTTTTGGCGCTTATAACGTCTAGAGTATATAGAAGGGGGTGGGGTTAATACATTCGCCGCTAATTCCCATTTGCTTTAAATGTGCTGAAACTCACATGAAATGTAGATAATTATATACTTCATCGAATACGGGGGGCACAAATTCTAGCAGCGGACATTAAAAAGGTCTTATTTGAGCGCATATCAACCAATGGCCAGCACAAACCTAAAAGTTTGGCGCATATAACGTCTAGATTATATAGAAGGGGGTGAGAGTTAATACAATCGTTGCTAATTCCCATTTGCTTTAAATGTGCTGAAACTCACATGAAATGTAGATTATTATATACCTCATCGAAAACACGGTGCAGAAAATCTAGCAGCCGACATTAAAAACGTTTTATTTGAGCGCATATCAACCAATGTCCAGAACAAATATTTTCGTTAATAGCGAATAACGTGGGGAGTATATCGGTGAATGGGCTTTCGGGCTTTAATACATATGCAACCCTATTCCACTTGCTTTAAATGTGCTTAAACTCACATGAAATGTAAATTATTATATACTTCATCGAATACGGGGTGCACAAATTCTAGCAGCGGACATTAAAAAGGTCTTATTTGAGCGCATGTCAACCAATGGCCAGCACAAACCTAAACGTTTGGCGCATATATAAACGTCTAGAGTATATAGAAGGGGGTGGGGTTAATACATTCGCCGCTAATTCCCATTTGCTTCAAATGTGCTTAAACTCACATGAAATGTAGCTTATTATATACTTCATCGAATACGGGGTGTAGAAAGTCTAGCAGCGGGGTGTAGAAAGTCTAGCAGCCGACATTAAAAAGGCTTTATTTGAGCGCATATCAACCAAAGTCCAGAACAAATATTTTCGTTAATAGCGAATAACGTGGAGAGTATATCGGTGAACGGGGTTTTGGCCTTTAATACATTCGCCGCTAATTCCAATTCGCTTTAAATGTGCTTAAACTCACATGAAATGTAGATTATTATATACTTCATCGAATACGGGGTGCACAAATTCAAGCAGCCGACATTAAAAAGGTCTTATTTGAGCGCATATCAACCAATGTCCAGAACAAACCTAAACGTTTGGCGCATATAACCTCTAGAGTATATAGAAGGGGGTTGGGGGTTAATACATTCGTTGCTAATGTTCCATATGCTTTACATGTGCTGAAACTCACATGAATTGTAGATTATTATATACCTCATCGAATACAGGGTGCACAAATTCTAGCAGCCGACATTAAAAAGGTCTTATTTGAGTGCATATCAATCAATGTCCAGAACAAACCTAAACGTTTGGCGCATATAACCTCTAGAGTATATAGAAGGGGGTGAGGGTTAATACATTCGTTGCTAATTTCCATTTGCTTTAAATGTGCTGAAACTCACATGAAATGTAGATTATTATATACCTCATCGAAAATGGGGTGCAGAAAATCTAGCAGCCGACATTAAAAACGTTTTATTTGAGCGCATATCAACCAATGTCTAGAACAAATATTTTCCTTAATAGCGAATAACGTGGGGAGTATATCGGTGAATGGGCTTTCGGGCTTTAATACATACGCCACCCTATTCCACTTGCTTTAAATGTGCTTAAACTCACATGAAATGTAGATTATTATATACTTCATGGAATACGGGGTGCACAAATTCTAGCAGCGGACATTAAAAAGGTCTTATTTGAGCGCATGTCAACCAATGGCCAGCACAAACCTAAACGTTTAACGCATATAACGTCTAGAGTATATAGAAGTGGGTGGGGTTAATACATTCGCCGCTAATTCCCATTTGCTTTAAATGTGCTTAAACTCACATGAAATGTAGCTTTTCAATACTTCATCGAAAACGGGGTGCAGAAAGTCTAGCAGCCGACATTAAAAAGGCTTTATTTTGGCGCATATCAACCAATGTCCAGAACAAACCTAAACGTTTGGCGCATATACCGTCTAGAGTATATAGAAGGGGTGGGGGTTAATACATTCGTTGCTAATGTTCCATAT